CTAATCGTTTTTGAGTATCTGCTGTGTACCAGCACTATGAGAGATGTTTTATATATATCATCAGTCCATGTGTTATGGTCATTATACACACTATCTCTAATTATAACACCAACTTTGGGTATATAACTACCCTCAGTTAAAGATAAGGACCAGGACGCATTTTTAGGTTAAGTGATTCCTTTAAGGTCAATAAACACGTAAGTAGAATAACAGAAGTATAAGAGTAAATGAGAATGGGCCCAGAACAGGGCCAATCATGGAGGGAATGGGTGGTTTTGAATATAGAGAGTTATAAGGAAATAAAAAATTTTATTCAACTCCTTTGATAATATCAAAACGAGAGTCTTCAAGAAGGTAAGCTTCTTCTGGAGATCAGAATTAACACCATAAAGTTCAGTTATGTCTCCTATATGAAACTTTTTCTTTTTCCAATTTAAGAGAATTAAAATTCTACTTTATTAAGATAACTGGTGTGGTCCTTGAAAATGACATTTAAGATGGAGTTGGGAAATCTGAGTAAATTCTTCCATGATATTTGGCTGCATTTCTAAATGGGGGGAAAATGTGTTTTTTAAAAATATTTCTTTGTGAGTCAATGATGATGGGTTACATGAAAGTGGTTGTGATGTGCATTAATGGCTGGCCTTGGACATTTTAGGTAGATACTATGTTTCAACAGATGCCCTTGAAGGGGACTATAGGATGCAGGTCCCTTGCTCTCTCTCCTCTTCCATTCCCTGGCTACCATGAGGCAAGCAGCTTTCTTTGTCACATGCTCCTGCCATGATGTACTACCTCAGCAAGCCTCATAAGCAATAGGAGCCAACTGAGGTGGAATGAAACTGCCAAAACCATAAGCCAAAACAATCCTTTCTTCTCTATAAATTGACTATCTCAGGTATTTTGTTACAGCAACAGAAAGCTAAAGAACACACCAATTTCTCAGTTATGAACATTGTACTTCAAAATTAAGGAAGGAAGGTGCAATCATCATTAAGGTTAAATTCATGGATGGTTTCTGCTTTGTGTGTATTGCATTGGCCAGTACCTCACCTGTGTGTTTTCCCAACACAAACTTACTGGTGACATCAGCAGACTCTGGACACAGGAGATTATCTGATAATTGTTTGTCAATGTGATGATTCACCCTTACAAAAATGGGCTCATTTGAGTGTTCTGTAAACAGTTGCCATTTAAATACACATGAAACATGAGTTATAAAGGTATGTATGTGCTACAAGGCTAACTGCTGCCTTCTGGGATATCTAATTTATTATTATTGTAGATGAATGCAAGCACATCTAGACAGACACAAATGGTTCGATGCTCATCAATTATAGTGGGCTATGAATCCCATCCACAGTGATAGTTATTTAACATTTTAAAAGTTAACTTGAGATTTAGAGAAAAACAAATTAATTATTTGTTTCTAAGTATACTGTTATTCTCAATTTGTGCCAAGAGAGCAATAAAAACTAACATTTGCAAAGTATGAGTCTACAAAATACCCTTCATGTAGTTTAATTGCTTCCATTTATTATGCCAGCTACCATGTTAAATTAGCTTCTTAAGATATATTTTTCATTTATCTTCACAATTCTATGCATAAATATTATATGGATGGTTTCCAATTTATAAGGGGTCCACTTAAGGTTTTCTGGCTTTACAAGGTATGAAAGCATGCTCATATAATCACTGTTTTTCACTTTTATTATAGTATCCAATAAACTACTGAGATATTCAACATTTTATAATAAAACAGACTTCGTGTTACATGATTTTTCCTAACTATAGGCTAATGTAAATGTTCTGAGCATGTCTAAGAAAGGGTAGGCTATGATGTTTGGTAGATGAGGTGTATTAAATGCATTTTGGCCTTATGATGTTTTCAACTTACGATGGATTTACAAAGTTGTAGCCACATCTTAAGTTGAGGAACATGTGTATTATTTAGATGTTACCTTTAAACAGAGGGCTGGGATCTGGCTCAATGGTAGAGTGCTTGCGTAGCATGTCAGAGGCCTGGAGTTTGATCCCCAGTAGTGTAGTAGTAAGAAAATAAACAAACAAACATAACCCCAAACCTCCCAAAACAGACTTATGAAGGAATTGAAAAAGAATAAAGGAAAGGCCAAAAATTGGGTAGTGACCCAGTGTTTTGGTTGGCTTTTTTGTCACTGTGACCAAAATACCCAACAAGAACAGTTTAGAGGAGGGAAAGTTTATTTGGGGCTCATGGTTTTGGAGGTCTCAAGGTGAGGATGAACATCATGGGGGACGGGTATAGCAGAGGGTAGTTCCTTCCCTCATGGTAGCAATGTGGTGGTGGGGGAGAGGGAGGGAGAAAGGTAGAGGGGAGAAGGGGCCACAGGAAGAACCACCCCTCTAGGGCACACCCCCAGTGACCCACTTCTTCCAGCTGTGTCCCATAGGCCTGTGGTTACCACCAGTCAAGCCATGCTAACTAGGATTAACTGGAGAAAGTGAGTCAGCTCTTCTAATCATTTTACCTCTGAATATTCCTGCATCAACATAGGAGCTTTGGGGGGACACCTCACATCCAAACTACAATACCCAGGGAGCATATTTTTAATAAAATATTTTCCTCCAAAATGGAATTTTAAATTCAGTTACAGGGGATTCAACCCAGGACAAATTGAAAGCATATCATGATAACAGAAAAACAATTCAAATCACCAAATGCCAAGGATAAAAGGACTCTGAATTATATCTAATTAGATTATGACTTACACTGGACTTTCAGTATCTACTTTGTTCATTTCTCTATGGTTTCATCTGCCAGAATTCTAATGGAATTTCAGATACAGGATTTGCTCATTTTATTTATTTTTGACCTTCGAAGGTTCAACATATCTTGGGAGGCAGAAGTTTAACTTGAAGATGAGTCTGTAGCTGTATTTATAGGAATATTTGGTCCTGAAGTAGAATTGTATTAGCCCTAAACACTGATTAACCTGGGGTCTTCATCTGCTCTAAGGAGAGAGACTTAGCACTTCTCTATGTACTCTGTGGTAGAATAATATTTTGACATATTTATCTTTATCCTTGCCTATAGTTTTCTCTTTCCTTTTCTCTCCATTCAAGCAGAAAACAGGCTCCATGCTCACTACTCCAGAGAAGGCACATGGCAAGGCAGAGGCAGCCCAGCCTATAAGTTCTAAACCTTCAGAGGAAAGGACCTTCTAGACACACAGGGTATGGAAGAAACAAAACGGGGAAGGAATTTTCTCCAAACTGTACAGACTAAGAAGAAATATTCTCTGGGTTGCAGCAGGTAGGAACACACACATTTTGTCAGGGCATAAGACTCTACAGCTACAGTACACATCTGGGGAAAGGCAGAGAAAGGCCAATGAAAGATGTTACATATCCCTACAACCACCCCCTTGGGGACTCAGAATCACAAATTATGTTAGAGACTGCAGAATGTTACATCTCTAGGACACTTGAATTTGTGGAGTGAGGTTTATATCTACGACACTTGCTTAAAAATATGTTAGGTCAAATGGATACATATAACTATAATAATGCTTATTTAAATATATCAAAATGAAAATAAAAGTTATTAATCCAATTAGGAAACATATATGAGAACTATCCAACTATTTCAAATATTATTTATGAGATTACTTAATTATATAAATATGCCCAAAATGTCCTGATAGGAAAATACAAATTATGAAATATTATGTACAGTATCACTGGAAGAAAAATGTATATTTAGATATAAAGAATAAACTTAAAGACTATATATTACATAAGTGAGTTTAAATTTTACTTTTTAATGCTTCTTAAATCCCTGAAAATTCTACAAATTGCAGACATTCCTTTTGTAATAAGAACAAAAAATAAAAATTATAAAATGAAATCTAATCATTTACACTTTGCATTGAAAATACTATACATTGTATTCATGCAGAAGGTCAAAGAGAAAAAAACACTCCCACCTTCTCACACAGTTCTGCTGATAAGGTGACTGAAACAATCATGCCTTTACCTGAGAGATTAGTATTGCCAAATGGTTCTTAAAAGAAGGCCTGAAGCTGGGGAAAGGCAAAACAAAAAAACAAAACAAACAAACAAACAAAAAACTCCATAACTATCTATCTGAAACATAAGAAGTGAAAAATGAGAAAAGCTAAATATGCATAATTTGAGATGGAGAAAGCAGGCAAAATCATTACTTTTTTAAGCATAAGTATCTTGCTTCAAGTAGGTGCTTGACAAACGGTGAACAAGACTCAAAACAAACAAACAAACAACAACAATAACGGAATAAGAAAATTTCCCAGCACTCCAGAATATAAAAAGGGCAAAAGAAGTTTTGCCTTATGAACCTGATATATATTCTAAATAAAACAATTCACAGTAAAGGGATTCTAACACGTAGACTACTGAATGTCACATGAGAATTTACTATAAGAAAAAAAGTATTCTGTTAGAATCTAGAATAAGGAATTCTGATTTTGATTTGATAATCAGAAAGCTCACAAACTTATATGTAATATTGGCACATTTCTGGCCTACAGTTGAAGGACAACTAGATCAGAAGAGGCAAAACATATTCTATAAAGAAAAATTTATAAACATGGCAACATAATTTAAATTACATTACATATTAAAAATATATGAACTAGCTGTTTCTCATGCTTTTCCATATTAACAAAATGCTGATAAACAAAATAGCTTAAAAATCACACTTTCTTATTTAGCACTTCAATACTTCTTAGTGTCTCTCAACAACACTATTTAACATTAAAGTTATAATAATGAGGGATTAAATTGTATTGATTATAAATTCTACATATGACTTCCAATACCACTGTGAAACCTTTTACTGTATTTGCTCTGATCAAATTGCTTTATTGTCAGTTGGTCCCTTGAAACTGAAAACAAATATGGAATTCTTATTAACATAAAACATTAATTCTCCTCATACTCGTTTCTCTCTCTAGTCCACCTTTTCAAATTGTACTCACCCTTGGGAGTGTCAGTGAGTTTATTTCTTTGAAGAATTAGCACCTTTAGAAAGAGAAGTTCATTTTGGAAGCTGCTTCTCTGGTGTTTTTTTGGTGAGGAGTGAGGACTGGATAGATCCAACGAGATGGAGTGGATGGCACTGTTGCTCAGGTTGAGTATTTCCAAAGCATGTAAATGTGTGAGAGGGCTCAAGGTCATTTTCCATATGAGAGAATCAGGGAGGTCCAGATGTTTTATTTTCCATTCTTCTTTTATCGTGTGAGACTGTAAGAGAACTCTAAAGAAACTGAAGCTTACGTTCACTGTGGCTGCTGTCTGTGATGAGTCCATGGGTAGCTCATGCTTTCCAGTAGAACAATTTGTTAGGAGATATTTATTACTTTGGTACTCTGAATTGAATAAAATACTGCTTTTTCTTGATGGATTTTCTCTTGTTCCAGTAAAGAAAACACCTATAACTATGGTAATAACTCTGAAATAGAAGTTTTTCATAATGCCTGGAAAAATAAAAAATAAAATTGACTTTTCAAAATAACTTACATAAAAAGTAGCAGCAAATAAGAAGCAGGATATTTAATTTCCACTTCTAAGATTCAGGAAAGTTATCTTGATTGTCAATTTAAGTGACTGATTTCTTAGAAGTCAAGACATTAAAAACATTTCAGTAGTTACTGAAATGGTAAAACTAGCATAAAATTTTATTTATAGCACTTTAAAGAAAGGACTTGTCTGTATTTTCAGAAAATATACATTTAATAAGTCCTCACCTTGACACCTGCTTTTTCAGTATCATTCACTGCGTAGTCTGCTTTGGAGTGAGTGAAACTTACCAAGAAGACTTCTCTGTTTCTTTGCTGATCATTAGTAGGGAGCAAAGTCTGCTATGCTTATCTAGAAAATTGTAAGCCATGTGGTTTATTACATGAATGATATCCAGTTACACTAAACTGTGAACTTCCCATAACCCTGTAAGTAGAAAGTTCAACTTGCCAAACATATACTTTTTTCCATGACTAGAAAAACTAAAATCTTTGTCTTTGTGGTTTTTGTGTGACTTTTCAAATCATTTAATATATACAACATAAATGAGTTATGAAAAGGATGTTCTGCCTCAGAACCACATAGATATAGTGAGAGATAGAAACCTCAGGTATCTTTTTCATTAAAAAATTCTTGAGAAGCAACTGAAAGTTTTATAAGTATAAATACAAGCCACAAAGGCTGAATGCATACACAAAAATAATTTAAAAAAGAAATGCAAATGGGCTTTTGCAATTGTTTTAAAATTCCACCTAAAAATCAGTGTATAAATAACCACATTATTCAGTATGCAGTTACAACAAATAGTTCCTTCCTTTCTGATTTAATGGCACACTTTCTAGTTTTCATTGCTATAGTCTAAAATACTAGAATGTTCTAATTGATCTTCCTGCCTTTGACTCTTGACTCTTCTTCTTTTTTCTTGATCCATTTTAGGTGATTCTGAAGCATTATCTTCCCATAATACTGTTTTTCTTGTGTAATTCCCTTATCAATTATATGATCAGAATCCTCAAAGGGCTACTTACTGCCTATAGTCCAAATCTCTCAGAGTGGCATTCAAAGATTTGAGTTATCTAGCTGACCTCATGAACTAGTTTGAAAAATACATGTGGAGCAACCACAAGATATGGCTTAGGCACAAAACTATATATGCACATCTCATGTCAAAATTAGCTTTTTAATTATTCCCAATTCTAAGCTCAATGCCTTTTCCTCTCCTCTGTCGAAATCCTATACATTCTTCCATACTCATCTCAAATCCTATGCTCTAGCCTCTATTTGTCTTTATGCCTTCACAAATATTTCATTAAATATTTATTGAATGAATACTATCCTGCATTTTTAGTGTTTTGCTTTGTGTCTGTTCTGAACTCCCTGAAATAAAGTAAGGATCATGACTCATACACACACACACACACACACACACATACACATTTCCATGTTTTATATTTTTAAACACACATACACATTTCCATTTTATATTTTTAATAGTCTGTAGTCTGTCTCTGGGCTATGCTTTGTTTGCATGAATGAATGTGTGGACTAAATTAAATTTACAGTGTTAAGTTTTAAACTTTTTTTCACACAAGGTCAGTTCTCCCAAATTCTGGATGACATCTAAATTCATACACATGACCATGAACTGCAAAGCTGCCCTATAGCAGGAGGAGTGATTTATAGTGTGTCCCTTATGCACAGAAACTGAATTAATTTGTCCAGTCAGAAAATATTTCCTTCTACATTCAAGCTGTAATCATTATAATTGTATATGCAGCTAATACTATAATATTAGCAACAACAACAAAATCATTTAAAGAAGCACATCACTTTGTAGTACTGAAGAGAAAGATGTAGTTGAAAAATACTTTTTCTTAAAAAGTTTTTAACTTAAAGATTTCTATTGCCTTGCTTCTTTTTAAATTGAAGACATTGATACGTTAATGGATTTAAGTTCAAAACACATAAGAATAATCCTATTATCTTACAGTGAAAGTTATTTATTTATAAAGAAACATTATTTTTATTACATAGAAATTTATATAGACTGGGTATATATAAATTCTTAGTGCTGTTTAGCACTAAGAACTCCAGAAAAAGTTTGTGAGGAAACTGAAAACAATAAGATAAAATGTAAGTCTTTAAATAGATATATTCAAGCTGAAGTTTGAAGAAGCAGTTAGAAATACTGGGCGTGGGTGTGCATATATCAGAGAGAAAGAGGAGGAAGAAGGCAGTAGAGGAAAAAAAAGTGGAAATGAAATGAAGAATTCATTCTTAGATAAAAACAAGTTGGAAAAAGAGAAAGAAAAAAAAGTAAGACTATTTTGGTGATGAGAAGATGTGGAAAAAATATGATATAATGCTTCTGAGACATACCTTAAGAGCCTTAGGTAGTTTTCAAATGGGTCTATAGTGGATGATTTCAGAACTGAGCCTTGGAGGCTCCTCCCCTCCTGCCATCATGCTAGCTAAGTGGCAAGCCTTCACCCTTTCATCTCCAGCACTGGCCGCTTGCCAGGGTAACAGTGTGCACAGTTAATTCCCTGGATGCTGGAGAGACGCCTTCTGCAATGCAAATGGGGTAGGACTATCCACACTGCAACTTTCTAAATCTGATATCCAGAGATATTACATAAATACAGATGAAGTTCCATTCTCAAAATATATTTAAATTTATAATGTCTGCATGATCAAGTGGAAATCCATGAACATATAAATACTAAAAAACTAACAGCCAATAGTTTACAGAATTTTTATTGTAAACAGAGGTCATTAATAGTCATTACAAATTGAATGAACTGAAATGCAAGTTAGCAATCTGAAACAAATTTTTATCTACTTAATTTTTTTTGTATGGCATGATTTCTAATCTTTGCCCCTCTTAACACTTCAGATGAGTAAAACTATCAGCATTTCAGTGGTCTCTTTGTTGTCAAGTTTAGCACCAAAACATTTTACTTCCTTAAAAAACACTCATTCAAAACTAGATAGAATTTCTATCTTTCATCATCAAAACTATCACACAAAATTTATTTTTTTCACAATGCCAAAAAAATACAAATTAGTGTATTTTAAAATATTGCAGACTATGTATAGGCAGTCCCTGCTTTGTATTGTTTTGCATTTTTCCTATCTGTCCATTAGACAGTCTCTAAGAAATCATGCATTTATTTATTTTTATTCCATATGTCATGATGATCCACCTCTACAATACTGTCATTATTCAAACAAGCATGTATCTACATCCTTCTCAGGGTCCTCTATCATCCACCTCCCCCAAACCTGCTGCTTGCTCTGTCAGTGCTTAATGGAATCAGGAAGAGGTAAATTTATCCCTTTATAGAAAAACACCATCAGGGGGTGCTACTGAGTTGCTGAAATTTCACTGTGAATCAAATAGGTCACAGGTAAAATGGGTGGTTTGTTCTTGTTCTGCTTCCCAATAAATTTTCCAGGTCTACATTTCAGTGGAAAAGCAAAGACTACCTATAGAATATCCTAAAATGCTATACCTGATAACAGTCAGTTTTATAAAAACACCAAAATATCTTCTCATGTCAAAAGCACTTAATGGAAATGTATCAAAAACACAAATATTTCTCAAAGAGAAGTAAAAATAGACTATATCATGAATTAGATTCAATAAATAATACTTTGTAATACAGTGTTCTGTGGTTTTAATAAAAATATTTAAAGAAACTTTCAAAACAAATCTAAATAGACAAGTAATGAATGTACAATTTTAAAATACACTGAGCATCTAAATGAAAATTTCAATGGTTTTTTTCTGAGAATCATTCAGACATTAAAAGATATCCAAAAGGTTTCAAATATCACTGTAACTAATAATACTCAGAGGTCAGAAATCTCTCATTTTCTTTTCACTTAAAAACTGCTCTCAGTATTATATAGTAAATCAATCCTATTTCAGTAAAATTTATTGACTTCATAATCTATAAGGTATACGGTTTTTCTGTAAAAGAGAACCATGACTATATTGAATACAATTTTTTGCACTGATTTTCTTATCTACACAGTTCAAAGTGACCATGATAGAACATGGTTATATTTCATTGCAAACAGAACCTATGATATGTACCTATACTGCCTATTCTATGGCAATCTACTTTGGGGTCCCTGTCCCTGATCCTGTGTGTGTCTTAATAATACCAGAGAGTTCCTTTCATATCAAATACAAAATATGTTAAAAATCAACTGGTTTGAGGGTATAATTATAATGAGATAGTGATATTAGAAGATAACTTCTTACACTCAAAAATTTTGTGTATTATCTCCTGCCTTTAGTTCCGTATCCTGACCCATTAAAAAGGGTGACATTAGTGTGGTATGCTGTAGTAAAACCAGCAGGACTTGGCTAGGCCTACTGTCTCCCACTGCACTGAGCTGCCCTAGGGCGAAGGGTGAGAATGTCCCTGTACCTCTGGAACCTATTCAGGTAATCCAGTGTGCCAATGACCTTTATTTGGAAAACTGGTAAGTCATAGGTAGGCCAATTACACCTCTATATAGAATAGTATTTTGGAATTGTCTTAAAAGATAGTTAAAATCTGACAGTGATTGTTTTTTTTTAATCTGAGATTTATTTCTTTTAACTAGAGTAGTCTAACTGTTTTGTTTGATTTTCTTACCTTAGGGAAGTTAGAATTATTCCTTTTTCATCTTTCTAGAGTTTTAAATAATTGAGAATTCAGTGCAGATAGTGAAAAGAGCATGGTATTTGGAATCAATTACATTTAGGTTTGAATCACACCTGCATTCCAATCCCAACTCTGCTATTTACTATATCATCTTAGGCAAGTTTATTAACTTGTCTGATCCTCAGTTCCTAATGGGTAAAACTGGGATAATAACACCTATTCAGAGAGCCTCAGTGAGAACTAGAGACATTAAATATGCAAAGCCTTGGAAATCTAAGACACTCAACAAATGACTTAAAAGCTATCATTACTTAAAAGTTAAAACTGAGCATGTGTCTGCTTTCTATCACACTGTGAACTCTCAATAATTATCATTATAGCAAATAAACATTCTATCACAGAGTGTTTTCTTCTTAGTGAAAAGCTAAGGAACCACAGTTTATTCTCTCACAAATGTCAAGTTCTTTAATGACTTTACTGGCATGTGAGAATATGGTTCAAGGTTAATACCCTAAAAATCCACATCTTTTCTTTTTGAAACCAAAAGATAGAACATGAAACACTGATGGTATGCCTTTTAAACATCTCTAATGGGTCTATTCCCATTAGAATTATCAAAAACTGATTACAGTGAATCTAAATAGTTGTGTCAGCCCTTTATCCTTTAGTCAAGTATAGTAGAATTTTAAAAAAACACTTTTTAAAGATTAATTTTGATTTTATTAACTTCTTATAATGATTTTAGGGGACTGTCACTTGAAAAATCAGTGCAACTTAATAAAATGTATTAGAATTTAGACTCTCAAGAATATTTTAAATATGGAGACTACATAATAGATACAGTAGTGCTCTTCAGTTAAAATAATTACAAATTATCACAAACTCTGTAAAAACATGATTTGCATGCATACTTAGGGGGGAAAAAAAAAAGGTCAAGTCAAGATATAAACATACTGATGACCTCTGGGCTCTTCTAATGCGTGTTCCCGCAAGGGTTGTCTGAGATTTGGCAGCCCATGTTCTGTACAGTTACTTGTACTTTGAAGAGAGTCCCATCGGCACACATGCAGAGCTTGTAGCGCACCCAGTCGCCACCACCCAGCTGGTCCCCACTGGACGAACTGGGTAATCGACTTGTGCTGACCATCACAGTTCCATTTAGGATGATGCTGTTTTCCTACAAAAAGGATAATAGTACAATTTATTTACTTCCACATATGAGTATAGAACAAAGTTATTAAACAAAACTTGCCAGAATATTAACATGAAAAGAAGGCAGTTAGAGAGTAAAATCACGACCAAAACAATAATGGCAGCATCAAAAACCAAAACAATCATCAAGATTCAACTGGTGACTTCTTAGTTTATTCAGTTCGACTAAATGTCAATAAACCTGCCATATAACTCTCAATTGTTAGTTAAAGTTACATCAAAACTCCTAAGTGTATAATAAAACTAATGTTGATTATGTCTCATTTTCATTTGTTAATTCCTAAGAGAATATTAACAAAGGTACTGACTGATAAGTTTGTGATGATGAGAAGAAGAAGGCATTTTCTCTTACAGGCAATTAATTTTAATTAATGAAGATTGAATTAACTAGATTAAAACCATATAATTTAGAAAACCAGATACTCAAAGGAAACTGTCTGGAGATTTTTCCTCTTTAAGGCCATTGCTCCAGAAAAACGTTTATAACATAGGCTCTTAAAACCCCTGTTTTAAGAGGAAACACTAAGCGTATCTCACTTCTTTCCTTTCTTTGTTCTCTCTTTTATTCGCTCAATAAATAATTATTAAGTGCCCACTATGTACCAGGCACTATCCTAGGTGCTAGTGACACAGAAGTAAAAAAGAAGGCCGCCATTTCAGGGAGGGGAGCAAACAATAAACAAATGAAGAGGTAAGACACATAAGGCAGCAGACGGGATAAATTCTGGGGAAACATAAAACGGGGTAAGTAGAGAGAGTGAGCAAGTGGGGATCGTATTTTATAAGTCAGGAAAGGCCTCCCTGATAAGGTCACATTCCAACAGAAACTGGAAGAAGTGAAGAACTTAAGTCAGGTAGGTAACTGGGGAAGGGAATTCTAAGCTGAGAAAACGGTACATGCAAAGGTAAAGATGTGCCTGGCGTTCTAGGGACAATAAGGTGGCCACTATGAATGGAGCACAGAGGCTGAGGAGAAATAATCAGGAACCAGACGTGAAAGTCAAAGGAATGAATTCTAGATTTTATTTGAAATTAGACGGAAGCCATATAGAGGATTCCGAATGGGAAAGTGATGTGACTGTTTTAGAAAATCATTCTGGTTGAAAGGCAGAAAAATAACTATAGGTGTGAAGAAAGTCACAAAAGGACCAGTTAGGAGGCTGTTCCAACAATTCAGGCAGGAAAATGATGGCAGTTCATACCATAGTGGTGATGATGGAGGTGATGAGAAGCAGCCAGCCTCTGTACATCTTCTGAAAGTAAAGCCAGAAGGCTTTGTTGATGGGTTATCATTTTACAGGACAGAACACTGAAAGAAATGTATGACTGGTGAGGAAGCAGGATATCAAGATTTTAGACTTGTTAGATTTCAGGTGCTGTTAGACATGGAAGTGGAGAAAGTAAGTAGGCATTTGTGCACATGAATTAGTTCAGAGGAAAGGCTGAGGCAGGAGTTCTAAATCATCTCGCAGAGGGTATTTACAAGATGAGATGACAGGAAGATGGTTAAAAAGCAATAGAAATGGCTAATGTACTATGTAGTGGTGTTACAGGCTGAATATCCCTTATCTGAAATGCTTGGAACAGAAGTGTTTCACATTTCACAGTGTTTTGGATTTGGGAATATTTTACTGGTCAAGTATTCCAAATCCAAATTTTTGGAATAGGAATGCTCAAGCTACATACTGAATAAATATAATTCTTAAGTGATTAGTTTTCAAATTTTGTTGCAATGCTGCCAC